CCCCCTGTTGTCTTCCCCCCTCCAGGTGTCTCATGTCCTTGCAGCCCTGCAGGCAGGCAACCGGGGCACCCAGGCCTGCATCACAGCAGCCAGTGCCGTCTCCGGCATCATTGCCGACCTGGACACCACCATCATGTTTGCCACGGCTGGGACCCTCAACCGAGAGAATGCCGAGACCTTTGCTGACCACAGGTGCCGACCGTGGGGTGGGCGAGGGGTCCCCCATGAGGCCCCCTCAGTGGGCCTGGAGCGCCTTGCCTGCTCCCACCCGTTGCCCGTCTGCCTGACTTCCCTTCTCCCCCCTCCCCCCCCACCCCGCTCCTTGCCAGGGAGGGGATCCTGAAGACGGCCAAAGCCCTCGTGGAGGACACCAAGGTGCTGGTGCAGAACGCCACCGCCAGCCAGGAGAAGCTGGCCCAGGCGGCGCAGTCCTCGGTCGCCACCATCACCCGCCTGGCGGACGTGGTGAAGCTGGGGGCGGCCAGCTTGGGCTCCGAGGACCCCGAGACTCAGGTGAGGATGGCGTGGCTGCCCGTGGCCCCTGCAGCCGCCTTGGGCTCGTCTCTCGGGGCCGCTCAGCTTGACTCCCATCCCCCCTCCCCTTGCTGCCCCAGGTGGTTCTCATCAACGCGGTGAAGGACGTGGCCAAAGCCCTCGGTGATCTGATCAGCGCCACGAAGGCCGCCGCGGGCAAGTCTTCCGACGACCCGACTGTCTACCAGCTGAAGAATTCTGCGAAGGTCAGCCCTCAGGGTGTGGGGGGTGTGGGGCTGCAGGCCGGGTCTGGCGGGTGGGGGAGGGAACGCCAGGAGTCCGGCCCCACCTCTGGCCCGAGGCTGAGCTGCCCTGCGGCCCCTTGCTTTCCAGGTGATGGTCACCAATGTCACGTCGCTGCTGAAGACGGTCAAGGCCGTGGAGGACGAAGCCACCAAAGGGACTCGCGCCCTGGAGGCCACGATTGAGCACATCCGCCAGGAGCTTGCCGTGAGTGCCGCCGTGGCCGTGGCCGGTGGGGGGGGCGGGCGCCCCTTTGTCCCACCCCTCTCTGCCTCTGGCCTGACCCCAGCTGTGGGTTCCCCTCAGGTGTTCTGCTCCCAGGTTCCTCCGGCCAAGACCTCCACCCCAGAGGACTTCATCCGCATGACCAAGGGCATCACCATGGCCACGGCCAAGGCGGTGGCCGCCGGCAACTCCTGCCGCCAGGAAGATGTGATCGCCACGGCCAACTTGAGCCGCCGTGCCATCGCTGACATGCTGCGCGCTTGCAAGGTGAGAGTCCTGGAGGAGGGGTAGGCGGCAGGTGGAGGCGGGTGTGGGAGCTCCAGCAGGTTATTCCTGTAACCCTTCGGCTTCCAAGGCACTGCTGCCCCCTCGGTTAAGATTTGGGTCACGTGGAATTGCCCTCCGTGGGGGAAGATGGAGGGACTGGGAGGGACCCCTGCGCTGGAAGGGTTGGACGGCATGCAGAGGCTGCCTGGAGGGGTCTTCACGCCAAGACCTTTTCTTTGTTGGGGGGGGAGAGCAGGCCCGTGGCCCCTTGCTGGGGCCTCCTGGCCAGGACCAGGAGCGGCCAGCAGCTAGAAAGGGCTCCAGCGGGTCGCTGGGCCAGGGGCCTGGCCTGCTCCCAAGGCTCTCGGAGGGGGCCCCTGGCCCTCCCTCACCCCTGGGGCGGAAGGGTCTTGGCGGGAGCGCCTGCTCCTCCTCCGCCTCACAGCTGTCCTTTCCAGGAGGCCGCCTACCACCCGGAAGTGAGCGGGGAGGTCCGGCATCGGGCTCTGCGCTTCGGCCAGGAGTGTGCCAGCGGCTACCTGGATCTCCTGGAGCACGTGCTGGTGGTAAGTGCCCGTCCGGCCCCACTGGCCCGGGTCCCTTGGGTGGGTGCCCCAGATTTGCGCAGCATACCCCCC